TTGACGCAAACACTCCAGCCCAGCAGGTGGCCGCAAATCAACTAAAGTTAATCTATCTTCCATGAAGAAGATGCAAAAGTATGGTGAACAGTGAAATAAGAATAAACCAATCAACTATCAAGTTGATTACTAAGTATAATAGGAGTATAATTAGGAGAAAAAAAACATTTGTTGTGGACTTTTTCATCATTTCAAAGTGCTGAACATTATGTACAGGGGTTGGACAAAAAAACTGAAACACCTCTCATTTTAGTGTGGGAGGTTTCATGGCTAAATTGGACCAGCCTGGTGGCCAATCTTCATTAATTGCACATTGAACCAATAAGAGCAGACTGTGAAGGTCCATTTAGCAGGGTAAGAGCACAGTTTTGCTCAAAATATTGCAACGCACACAACATTATGGGTGACATAACAGACTTCAAAAGAGGACCAATTGTTGGAGCACGTCTTGCTGACGCATCTGTGACCCAGACAGCAAGTCTTTGTGATGTATCAAGAGCCACGGTATCCAGGGTAATGTCAGCATACCACCAAGAAGGACGAACCACATCCAACAGGATTAACGGTGGACGCAAGAGGAAGCTGTCCGAAAGGGATGTTCGGGTGCTAACCCGGATTGTATCCAAAAAACATAAAACCAGGGCTGCCCAAATCACGGCAGAATTAAATGTGCACCTCAACTCTCCTGTTTCCACCAAAACTGTCCGTCGGGAGCTCCACAGGGTCAATATACATGGCCGGGCTGCTATAGCCAAACCTTTGGTCACTTGTGCCAATGCCAAACGTCGGTTTCAATGGTGCAAGGAGCGCAAATCTTGGGATGTGGACAATGTGAAACATGTATTGTTCTCTGATGAGTCCGCCTTTACTGTTTTCCCCACATCCGGGAGAGTTACGGTGTGGAGAAGCCCCAAAGAAGCGCACCACCCAGACTGTTGCATGCCCAGAGTGAAGCATGGGGGTGGATCAGTGATGGTTTGGGCTGCCGTATCATGGCATTCCCTTAGCCCTATACTTGTGCTAGATGGGCGCGTCACTGCCAAGGACTACCGAACCATTCTGGAGGACCAGGTGCATCCAATGGTTCAAACATTGTATCCTGAAGGAGGTGCCGTGTATCAGGATGACAATGCACCAATACACACAGCAAGACTGGTGAAACATTGGTTTGATGAACATGAAAGTGATGTTGAACATCTCCCATGGCCTGCACAGTCACCAGATCTCAATATTATTGAGCCACTTTGGGGTGTTTTGGAGGAGGGAGTCAGGAAACATTTTCCTCCACCAGCATCACGTCGTGACCTGGCCACTATCCTGCAAGAAGAATGGCTTAAAATCCCTCTGACCACTGTGCAGGACTTGTATATGTCATTCCCAAGACGAATTTACGCTGTATTGGCCGCAAAAGGAGGCCCTACACCATACTAATAAAGTATTGTGGTCCAAAACCAGGTGTTTCAGTTTCATTGTCCAATCCCTGTATCTGCACTGTTCTGAGACGATTTCGGGGCTTTGGCCATCACATATTCTGTCAAATAATGCTTCACATGAATTTTGTTAATGACCAAATCAGCAAAATATTTGACCATGGGGACCTCAAAAGAGGATATTTAAAACCTAAGATGTAAAAAGATTAACAAAACAACACAGTGTCTGTACATTATATGCAATGGGCTAACTGAAAACCAAAAATACTGTGGAGAAAGTAGTTAAAGCAGGATTTATTTATCTTTTTTTGCTTTTTTGGACGTGACCAATTCAAACACATGATGATAACTGAATTAATGTCTGTGTGATGCCATCTGCTCAGATTTTAAAAAATAAATCTATTCAGTTGTGTTCTTATTGTGTGTTGTCTGTGTATTTTCCACCTTTGGGATACTCCCACAATGTCGTCCACGGCTGCACTTTGACTCTCGCCCTGCTCTCATTCCTGAAACTTTGCCTCGATTAAAGTCTTCCCTTCCTTCGCTGGATCACTTTCCTTGTACTTTCACACAGAACAGGGGACAAGACAACAATGTTAAGTATCTCAAGGCCACGTCGGAGTAGAGGAAGATAAAAACTCAAGTTCCCAGGCGCTGCTCACAGTACCAAGTGCAGCATCCCTGTCTCGCCACTCCTGTCTCCTCCTCCCGCCCGGCCCCAAGGACCAACCATTCGTTGTCTTTTGTTTGCCGCGCGCCTAACAAATCGAACTTGATTTCTTTGTAGACTGACCACATTGCTCATCCAACATGTCCTTTGCACTCTTTGCCATGGCAATGCTTTTTGGCTTTTCAGTGGTGACTCCATTTGTCATTCATCCATCCAGAGAAGAACCAGCAGCTTCAGCTGATTCCACAGTTTCTCATCACAGGTCAGTTTTTTCTACAATAAGAAATGTTTTGTTGTGCGTCCGTTGTGTGTCATTTGGTAAAATGACAAAAAAAATCACAAGAATATTACTTAATTGCATTATTTTTGCTGAATTATGTGATGTGATTTTTCCATCACAGGTCAGTTTTAACAGTTGTATTTATTTATTTATTTTTTACTGTGAATTAAGGTTTCTTTTATTGCTCTTTTATGTATTATCGGTCATTTGTCAAGCTTAACATTAAAAAAAAAAAGACATGATCAATTGTAAAGTCTGTGCTGAAGCATGTGTGGTATCTGTGGAGTTTAAACATCGATAAGAAGTGCTTCCTGAGGGCAATCAGGGAATCAAAAGCATCATTAAAGCTCACTATCCATTTTCGATTGATTGGCATGTAATAAATGTGACATAATTTGTAAAGATTCTGTGAGTTAGGCTGTTTTTTTTTTTTGTCCACTGGGTGTCAATTCAGCTACTTCATCCATTCACATTGTATTTTTTGCTCAGGCACCAGGATGAGTCTCTGTGGTCCATCAGGAAGAGCCTCCTCAGGGCTCTCAACATGCAGATGGAGCCCCGGCTGCCGGCCGGTGGGCTGGACAGCGTCCGGCAGCAATGGCAGAAAACCTTTCGCGCCATCCCTCAGAGCTCACAGGACACAAACAGTGAGTGGGATCCAAACGGCCGGCCCTACGCTCATTCAGTGGGAATCAGTCCACAGTTAACTCCAGCTAAAGTTCACAATGTCCTTCTTGCTGCAGCTGCCTCTGGCTACTCTGTGTCCCCTGACAGTGGAAACAGTACCAGCCTGAAGTGCTGCTCCACGGCCTCTGAGATCTTCATGAAAGGTATGCAACATTGTGTATTTAGATTATCTTCTGGGTAAAAGAACAAGAGTGACCCCTTGTCTTCTTTGCAGATCTGGGCTGGGACAGCTGGGTGATCCACCCTTTGAGTCTGACCATTGTTCAGTGTGCGCTGTGCCAATCTGCAGATGACACTGTGCACCATGCACCATCGGTCAACAGCATTCAGGATGGAAATTCACAGGTATGAATTTTGCAAGTTCTTCAATTTACTCACTGAAATTTCCAGTCTTCCTTTACTGATAGATATTGTCCGACCTACATCATCCACAGATGATTTATTCTGCTTAACTGACTATAAATATTCCCCCCAGAGTGCAATATTTTCATCTGCCTGTGGGGTAAAAATTAACGTTATTATATGAAATGTTATTAAAAGGGAAAATGTATTGGCCTGGGTGTGTTTCAAAGACGAGCCCGTTCTGTCCTGGTTCCTGCCAACACATGCCCTCTCCGCATACCTCTGTGGCCCACAAAGTGAACCACGCCGAAGGCCTGTTGCGACAGGGCTGTGTTACAGGAATGGAATTTAATACGTGCGATTTTTTTTTATTCAATCACTTTAGGCAACTGTTAGCAACTGAGTTCATTTTTCTGTTACTTTGTACAGGACATTTATAGATAAGTGTGGATAGCGTGTTGCCATTTCCAAAGCACACCTTCATTTCATAAACTTGGGAACTTGAGAAGAATTTGGTAACCATAAACTTAAAGTAAAACATTTCCAGATACAAACTAATTTTGGCATATAATGATCTTTCTGTGTAGTTTAGCTTGTTTTTAGCTGGATGAGCATCCTCTGACTCCCTCTCCTGATCTCCCTCAGGCCCCGTGCTGCCAGCCCACCTCCCAGGGGACGGTGCCCATCGTCTACATGGATGAAACCAGCACCGTTGTGATTTCTGACCTGCAGCTGACTCGCAGCTGTGGCTGTGGACCCGGCACCACCCACCAGCCCGACAAAGAGTAGCCGAACAGCTACCCCGTTTGACATGAGCCACCTAAAGTATCCAAACTATCGTTATGTACAGGCTATCTCCTCCAGCAATCACTCACTCTGATGATTGTGTCTCTATCTTTGATCGACACTCTGTGTTTTCAGAACTTATCGTGGGAACCAAAGCAAAGTCTCGGTTTTGAATTCCCACCGTACCAATAACACCTTTGTTTAGCCTGGCAGACATGGAACACAGCACACCTCATTGGTAACCTACATCTATGTGCCTGTATTAACCAACAAACAAGGTCAGACAAAAAAATGATTTTTTTATATGGAGGAAAATTCAACTTCTCTGGCAGCATGTGAAATGTTTTAGCTGACATTAGTGTGATAAATGGCCTCTCCTTCAATAAATCGAATGAGGACAGGTCACTATTTATAGCTGGTAACGGTTACTGAGTGTTCCCTCCAAAAATGTGAGACTTCTCTGTGCCAAACAGTCTCACACCAGTTGACTCTTCTCTGATGTGTTATCCCCTTAAGGCATTTAATGGGTAAGACTTCCATTTACTCTTTGGAGGAAAGCAAGACACAGTTAATTAGCTTGTAAATTATGCGGAGGCTTGTCGTTTTAAAGCTTCAATGAATGTGAGCTGAAATGAACTAGTGGTGAGTTTATGGATTTAGGAAAAGTAGCAGACCTTGGAAAAACAGCAGATTGTAGACCTCAGTGACTTTGCCAAATCTGATGTAACACATAGGCTGAAGAAATATGGCATCCAGTTAAGCTGTTTTATGATTTCATGACCTTGGAATAAAGAGTTTGGCACCAGTTGTGTTAAAAATGGACTGATGTGACATGTGTTTCTGTCGTAGAAGAAACTATTTTCCTTTATTAGACTTTTAACGACAGTTATCATTTCATTTCTGGGATTTTTTTTTTAATGAGAGACTGTTTTTAATCAATTTAATTTTCATTTAGCCTCCTAAAAAGTGTCTCAGCTCAGTTTTTTTCTCTGGTTGTGCATTAATAGAAAATCTTTAGTTTATGATCATAAATAGATTGTTATAGTAATTATTTTTGTACTTTTTTATGTCAGCTCTTTTGTTAATTTCTTTTAATGTTTATTTGACACATTTTGTTATCTTTTAGCTATTTCCACTCACTTTATAGTTGTTATACAGCATTTGCCATTCTTTTTTCTTAATTGTTATACTGTTCAGTTGAATTTGCGCATATATTACAATTATGAATGACTGTTTAGCCATCTCAATCACTTGTACCAGTATAATTCATTTCAATAAAGATTTAAATCAGTTTGTTTGTATTTTTCTTCTAAGAACAGCTTTTATATCATAATCTCAGTGTATTGTTCTGGGGAATTACATTTAAACGTGCACCGTGTAGGAATTTCTCCCATTTAAAGGTGAAATTGTATTTTGAACTCTAACAAATGGTGCTCTCTAGTGCCTTGTATTTTCAATGGGGAATTGCAACTACGGTAGCCGTCATGCATCAAGAAGTGATGACAACATGACTTCAACATCAGCGAGTTTTCTCTCAGGTGATGAGGTTTGTAATACATTTTTTTTTAAATTAATTAATGGAATTAATCTAAAAAATCATTAAAATAAATTTCAGTTACGTGGCTCTGGCTCTGAACGGTGGGGGGAGGACCAGTGCTGGATATTTTTAGGCCAAAAACCCAGCTCTATGAATCATCCCACAGACTGTTTAAGCGCACTTCAGTGACACGTCAAGAGATTACAGCTTCAAAACAAACACAAGACGTGGATTAAAGACTCCACAGAAGGGACGTTTGCTATCCTTCATTGATATAAAGTTTTACAGCAGGAGTTGAGCAAAATGCAGAGACATCACAAAGAGGTTTCTGTATGACAGTTTAGCATGACCGTGGCATTGTGCGGTATGCAGCTAAAATTGCCATAACATGTTTATTAATATTTCCTTAAATACTAAGTTCTTGATGAATTTGGAATAATAATACGTCAAATTATTACAAAATAAAATTGCATGGCAATAAAAGAGGCAGAAATGAAGGATATTTTATCTCATTCCACTCACTCACTGTGCAGTAAGACAACAAATCACATGTTTTAATTCAGAATTTGTCCTGTAACAACTGCAAAACTCCCTTCATCATGCATGTGTTGAAATAAATGTCCTCTGCCATGTCCGCTCTTAATTCTTTTTTCGAATCACTCATCGGCGTATCAGGGCTCTCTGTGATCCCAGCCATTTGGCAGGTGGAAGTGGTGGGAGATGTCTGGGATTCAAGGACACAGAGATGCAGTATCCCACACTGACCTCCGGTGTGAGTTTGCACCTGTCTGTGTGTGTGTGGGTGGGCACACACTCTTGCTATGGGGACCGCAAGCCTTAAAAACACAGTCATTTTAGGGGATAATGCCCATCCTATGTTCGTTTCTGTAAAATAAGTCGGTTGTGAATGGGATGACTTCACATTAGCATGATTTCAATAATCAACAAAAGTACATTTTTATAAAACTTCTGAGGAAATTCAACATGGATCAGACACGCTGGACTGATTTAATTCAACTGAAGTTAATACACAAGGGAGAATAATACTTAATCTAAAACAGACACTTGTTTTGGCGGGGAAATGATCATTGACAGCAATGACAGATGTGATGTGTGACCACAAAGAGGGAGCTGAGAGAGAGGCCCGCCTCAGGGAATATTCTGACCTAATGTGAGGGATCATCTGTCCAGAAGTGTCCAGAGTGTAAACAATTCCCTTTAATATCCTGAGATGGCACTAGGTAGATAATAGCTTTGTGTTAATTCCCAGCTAAACCAGGTAACAAGAAAACACAGACAAAGAGTCCTAAACCCTGGAAAAGATGATGCAAAACATTCTTTAGCCAGTGACCTTTTCTGCACACTCATTTATGAGCGGACATTGTACAAAGTACTTGTTTAACTACTAACGCCACAGGCTTTATTCTTTAATGTGAGCATGTGTTGACAATCATCTCACCTTGTAAAAATATCTGAGGTACTCAGTGTTGCCAGCACTGAGAAGCTGGCATTACAGAATGAGGCCATGAAGCTCCAGACAGAGATTGACGGAGCTGCTGAGACGTGTTTGGCATCTTATGCAACAACATGCCACATTTCCCCGGTGATAACATTAAAAAAAATAAGAAAAAGTAAGATGACAAGAGATATGACAAAAATCGGACTCCGATTGCAGATGGAGGCAGTGTAAATGTTTGCTTTGTGCATGCATGGCCTCCTCCCACAGGCCAAAAACATGCCAGTTTGAATATTAGCTGTTAGCTTAAATTAGCTGTTGGTCTGGAAATGTTCCACAGAGGGCTCATAATTTGGGTTGGCTTTGCATTTTGTTGTCGTTATATGGAGTCCTTTGCATACTTTTGTATCTTAAGGTCAAATATGACGCTTCCATCAAACAATCTGTCTAAAAATGGAAGCATACAGCAGAATGATAGCGCCACGTCATTACTGAAATAACCCCAAAAACTCCACACACTTGCAAAGTAGCGTACACAACCTGGAGGTCACCTTACGATGTTAGCCATAGAAATAAAAAGATTGCAGGTTTTGTTTCAGCTTGTTTCGAGCAGCTCCGGGACTGTAAATGAATTATACTTTGATATCTTTAGCAGCAGATAAGCCGTCCCATTTTGGGCCTCTGAGAAAGTTTTGGTGGGAGTCAGTTTATGTATGAGGATTTGATGAAAAGGCACGGAGCTATCATTCCGTACAAGCTTAAAACCCTCTCTGGCCCAAAAAACTCTGAACTCTGCCAAGCTTTTTTTGTACCCCCGGCTTTCAGATAGTAGCATCACCTGCACCACTATTCTGTTTTTTGTTACATTTTATCCCCCAAGTTCCTGTCCTTGAAAAACCAGTGGAGAGGAATAATGTTGTTATTGTGTTTAACAGGAAAGATTTATGCCTTTTAATGTCAAGCTAGGGTTTGACAGGGTAATAAAAGCATATTTTAGTTTCATTTTTAAGAATTGATGGGCGGATTATCTTAAATAAGTTTGTTGACTTGCTGTGAAAGCAGAGTAGTCTTTTTTGGCCGGATCCCAAAGGGTTCAGAGGGGCCAAAAATGTCAGGGTGAGTGCGTTGCTATTATACACCTGCACATTCCTGCACAGCAAAAGCTGCACATTCTTGTTCCCCAAAACACACAAAAGAAGAACAGCCAAACAGTACAACCAAGCACCAAAACCCCCAAACAAGACTTTTACCAAAGAGAAATAACTGAAGAATTTTAGAAAACACAAAGCGAAAACAGATAATGATGCCCGTTTTCGCTTTTGTTTTATGAGGTTTTTTTGTATGTGTTCTGTGGATAAAAAATACATAAAAATACATTTGGTAGCATTTCTTAAGAATAAAGCAGATCTGAAATCTATCATACGCTTCTCTCTGGAGTTGGGACTTTCATTAAAAGTCCCTTGGGGCTGGTGATAATTGAGATGAATGTAAATGACAGAAAAAATAACACTTTAACATACTGATAACATTGACGCAAACACTCCAGCCCAGCAGGTGGCCGCAAATCAACTAAAGTTAATCTATCTTCCATGAAGAAGATGCAAAAGTATGGTGAACAGTGAAATAAGAATAAACCAATCAACTATCAAGTTGATTACTAAGTATAATAGGAGTATAATTAGGAGAAAAAAAACATTTGTTGTGGACTTTTTCATCATTTCAAAGTGCTGAACATTATGTACAGGGGTTGGACAAAAAAACTGAAACACCTCTCATTTTAGTGTGGGAGGTTTCATGGCTAAATTGGACCAGCCTGGTGGCCAATCTTCATTAATTGCACATTGAACCAATAAGAGCAGACTGTGAAGGTCCATTTAGCAGGGTAAGAGCACAGTTTTGCTCAAAATATTGCAACGCACACAACATTATGGGTGACATAACAGACTTCAAAAGAGGACCAATTGTTGGAGCACGTCTTGCTGACGCATCTGTGACCCAGACAGCAAGTCTTTGTGATGTATCAAGAGCCACGGTATCCAGGGTAATGTCAGCATACCACCAAGAAGGACGAACCACATCCAACAGGATTAACGGTGGACGCAAGAGGAAGCTGTCCGAAAGGGATGTTCGGGTGCTAACCCGGATTGTATCCAAAAAACATAAAACCAGGGCTGCCCAAATCACGGCAGAATTAAATGTGCACCTCAACTCTCCTGTTTCCACCAAAACTGTCCGTCGGGAGCTCCACAGGGTCAATATACATGGCCGGGCTGCTATAGCCAAACCTTTGGTCACTTGTGCCAATGCCAAACGTCGGTTTCAATGGTGCAAGGAGCGCAAATCTTGGGATGTGGACAATGTGAAACATGTATTGTTCTCTGATGAGTCCGCCTTTACTGTTTTCCCCACATCCGGGAGAGTTACGGTGTGGAGAAGCCCCAAAGAAGCGCACCACCCAGACTGTTGCATGCCCAGAGTGAAGCATGGGGGTGGATCAGTGATGGTTTGGGCTGCCGTATCATGGCATTCCCTTAGCCCTATACTTGTGCTAGATGGGCGCGTCACTGCCAAGGACTACCGAACCATTCTGGAGGACCAGGTGCATCCAATGGTTCAAACATTGTATCCTGAAGGAGGTGCCGTGTATCAGGATGACAATGCACCAATACACACAGCAAGACTGGTGAAACATTGGTTTGATGAACATGAAAGTGATGTTGAACATCTCCCATGGCCTGCACAGTCACCAGATCTCAATATTATTGAGCCACTTTGGGGTGTTTTGGAGGAGGGAGTCAGGAAACATTTTCCTCCACCAGCATCACGTCGTGACCTGGCCACTATCCTGCAAGAAGAATGGCTTAAAATCCCTCTGACCACTGTGCAGGACTTGTATATGTCATTCCCAAGACGAATTTACGCTGTATTGGCCGCAAAAGGAGGCCCTACACCATACTAATAAAGTATTGTGGTCCAAAACCAGGTGTTTCAGTTTCATTGTCCAATCCCTGTATCTGCACTGTTCTGAGACGATTTCGGGGCTTTGGCCATCACATATTCTGTCAAATAATGCTTCACATGAATTTTGTTAATGACCAAATCAGCAAAATATTTGACCATGGGGACCTCAAAAGAGGATATTTAAAACCTAAGATGTAAAAAGATTAACAAAACAACACAGTGTCTGTACATTATATGCAATGGGCTAACTGAAAACCAAAAATACTGTGGAGAAAGTAGTTAAAGCAGGATTTATTTATCTTTTTTTGCTTTTTTGGACGTGACCAATTCAAAC